CCTGCACAAGGCAGAAATTTTCTTCACGCCTATAAGAAAAACACTTGCTACATGCCTTCCTGTAACAAGGAAGGAACTTCCCTCATGCTAAGTTTTGACAACCCAATTTTTACACTATGGCATTCCAAAAGTCCATTCGAAGGACACATATTGTTGGCCATTCAAAGGAGCTGAATCAGAGCCATTCGAAGGAGCATGCAGAAGGCTCATTCGAAGGCTACACAAGGGGCCCAGTCGAAAAGAGACAACATGAGGTCCATTCGAAAAGAGACAATATGAGGCCCATTCGAAAAAAGGCAATATGAGGTCCATTCGAAAAAAGGAAATTTAAGGTCCAATCGAAGGATGAAAACTGAAGGCATTCGAAGGAGCCCAAAATGTCCACGTACATTCAAATTTCAAAAGAGGACAAGATCCCATGTTTTTGGCCACAATTATAAAACTTTATTCATGGCTTTGAAAACATTTGTTTATGGCAGTTTAAACTATTATCGTCTTGTCCCCTCCCTTCTACACTATATAAGCAGCATGCTTGCAAGCTAAAAAGGGGGTCGCTTACACAAAAGGATTAGACAAAAGGGAGAAATACATTAAAAAAAACTCTCAAAATTCAACAAGATCACACCACACCTGCCTCTCTCTTTTCGAATCTAGGAGTATCCAAACAACTCTAGTCCTCACACAAGTTCAATTTTCCAGTAAGGTAAGTCTCTTGACCTTGCATCTTTCGTTTTAGCATAACATGTAAATGGCCTTTTATTTATTTTCTCCATTCTGTATTTTTTGGTTTGTTTGCTTTTCTTGCCCAACTAATCTGGACAAACTCAAATGAAATACAAAAAGGGTGTGAACGAAGGACCTATCCTCATGCTGCTCTGTAGGCCTATACTGCTTCATAGGCCAATCGAAGGAAGTAGAAAAGGTGGCAATTGAATGGTGCTCACACCAACTCCCAAACTCAATTGAAAGGAAGTAAAAGAAGGGTGAATCGAATGGGTCTACTGCTTGGGTCGAAAGGGAGCTTCCGCTCTGGACCGAGAAGCCCCCTTTTCTCCCTGATCGAAGGATACCCCTTTGTATTCTTATTTGGCTTTTGTCCTTTTCTTTATTTGACCTTTTTATCATTTAAATTAACTCTAAGTCAAAAATCACAAAAAATTAGGCTTAGACTTTTTTTTAAATTAAATAATTAACTGCTTTAATTAATTAATTAATTAAATTTTAACTACTTTCTTAAATTAAAAATGAATTAGAATGTAGGATTTAATTTATGTTTCAAATGCTTTCTTAAATAAAAAAAATGAAAAAAATATTAGAATTAATTTAATTCCATTCAATATTTATTTCCTTAAATTAAATTTAGAGTTAATTATTTTCTTAACAAACAACAAAAAATATTATTGTTTACTTAGAACTTTTTTAGGTATTTTTAGACGTAATATTTATTTCGCGCGCATTTATTTTTAATTCTCGCATTTTATATAAATATTGTAACTGCTTATAGATGTAATAGTTTAGATTTAAAATTCCGCACTTTATTTCTTGCACTCTTTTTTATATAACTATCCCAAAGCCGTGTAATAGTTTATAATTTATTTTTCTGCATTTTATTTCCCGCATATTTACTGCTTTACTATTTTGATATATTACGGTTAGTAAATAGGCGTGTATGGAAAGACTGTAAATTAAAATGTTAGCTCACCTAACAAAAAGGCAAAAATAACTGAATCTCAACACATATGCACATATGCACCTCTAGGGTATCTCCTCTTTGGTTGCCTTTTGGAAAATAAAGCAGTCATGTCCCTCAAGAATGGGGACGCTTTAGCAAAGACCCGTAAAATCAAAAGATCATAGTCCCTCGATGACCCTATAGTGTTGTCTTTCGTTAAATGATCTCTTCCCTAAAATAAAAATTGCTAAAGTGTCTTCATATGTTGCCTTTATGACTGTAAAACGTCCCTTCGAATGTCCCTCAACATCCAACGATAAGACTACCTACTCACTAATAGTAGGATATCATTGTCTAAAGGAAAAGAGGAAAAGAACGACCTTTTTCGAGTAACAAAATAGATAGCTGTGAGAAGTTTGCTCAAACATTTTGCACTTACACAGAAAACTACTTTTCAAAAAACAATTTCAAATCACTTTGTATACTTTCTCCACTATCCCGAGAAACATTACAAAGTTCGTCGTACTAAGGCGTTTTCAAAATATTTTTCAAACACACAAAGCACAAAAGTAATTCAAAATGAGCAAACCTCTAAGAGCCCATGGAAAATCACGGATGAAAAGGGTGCTAACACTTTTCTTTTCCATAATCTACCCCTTACTCAGAAAATTCTCGAAAATGTATTTTTCTGTTATTTTCTCCATTTCCTTTATTGGATAAAAGAAAAGTTGGTGGCGACTCTTGCTTACCGCACATTTGCAAATATAAAACGCAAATCAGTATTAAACAGTCAGTTTTGCCACCGTATCACAATATGATTGATTGATTTTATTAAGATGTTAAAGGTTGGTTCTTTTTGTTCTGTCTATTATTAATTTCGGCTACGCGATGGAGTTGGCTTTGACGACGACAATGTTCTCTGGCTTGTATGCAAAACAGTTGGGTCTGGTTTCTCGAATTTTTCATACACTTTATTTTTTATGATTTGCTTACTATGAATGTAAAATGTTCGATTAAATGTCTTGTGTGCAACCATAGCTCTCCAAGTAACTTCTGTCTTAGTGAGTGTATTCCATTATGCCATATGCTGTAATTCTGTTTGAAAGATTTCCTCATGTTGCTACTGAAAAAAAGCTTAAGGTGATTCAATCAAGGTGGGGTTGTGGTGTGTGCAAGACCACCAATCGCTCCAACCTACAATGAAGAATGTAATATTAAAGTTGAAAGGTTTGAAAATATGCTTACTGCTATTTATTTGTTTTTGTTTTCCTTAGTCTCTTTAATTCTAACTTATAATCATTCATACCTAAAAGTGTCGTTTATGCGTCTCTTTTGAATTTTTGAAGAATTTAATATGTATATGTAAGAAGGATTAAAAAGACAAGATTGATTTGATCTTAATCGAGTGGAGCTAACTGAGATTTTTCAAATAATGCACTTACCTATAAATTAATCCCCTCAAAACCCTCCATTCTCAGAACTAATTCAAATATGAGTTGAAGCAACAACCACACGGAAGTGAGCCACAACAACACACAACACAACCATACGCACAGAGCATGAAGTGGAAGAAGAAGTGAATCGAAAGGCATAATAAAATTCAGAAAAAGAAGAGACTCAAATAAGGTAGAAGAAGAAGCATTTACCTGGATAGATTGAGACGATTGTCGGAGCCTCTGTTGGTAGTGACTCGGTTCTATTTCATGATCATGTTGTTTTATTTTTCTTCATTATTTTGATACTTGTACCTGGTAACACTACTCAAATACTGAAATCAGGTTGGTGTGGAGTTTAATATTGTTGATTGTGTTTGTTTCAGCTTATTGTTTAAGGCTCGTCAGGTATGTTTCTCTTGTTTGCCTATGGGAGTACATATTGCAGCTATATGATTTGGTTTTATAATTGGACACGTCGAAATCTCCGCCAGAATGTCAGTGTACTTATTTAACATATTGCATGAGTTGTTAAATTTAGGTGTTGGTATTATTTGTATTTATAGGAAATGCAAGGATCTCTTTGACTTCACATTCATATTCGTATCCATATTATAAATAAATAGTAGTATGAACTACTGAAATAGTTTATGCTTAATTTCCTTAGCTTGTAGACTAAGCGAAGATAAAAAAAAATGGTTAATCTTGGTCCCTTAAATAGGTATGAAAAGATGTTAATGGTGTTCTAACGTGTGATCCAAATTTATGCCCACAAGCAGAACCTATTCCGTTTTTGACATTTGATGAGGTTGTTGAGCTTGCTTACTTCGGTGCTCAGGTATCATTATTCATTATATTCCCTTATCCGTTCTCTTGCCAAAATATACCATATCATTTTTTTATGGGTATAAAATGTTTATGCATTGTAGTTTGTACTCTTTGTTTTGCTTTAGTGGTTCACATTCCTCATTGCCACAATTCAAAATCAGATATAATATTTTAAAATTTATATTTACTTTTACAAAGTATAGATCCCACGTTTTGGGATAGGGTTTGATTATTATCGATATTGTATATTCCCTTCATAACTTTTTATATTTTATTTTAATCATTTTGAAAGCAGAAGATAAGAAAAATGGTATTTATGATTTTATTATTGATTTAAATATTTTTATAGAAAAATATTATTTATGATCTAAATATTTTTTATTAAAAAATAGTATTTGAGAAAAAAATTATTATTGATCTAAATTTTTTTATATACGAAAATTTACTATCGATTCAGATATTTTTGATACAATAAATGGTATATAGGAAAAAAAATCTATTATTGATCTAAATATTTTTATATACGAAAAATTTATTATTAATCTAAATATTTTTTATAACGATACCTAAACAAAAATAATATTTATACACGAAAATATAAAATTATTGATAAAAATATTAATTATTAACGAAAAAATAGAGTTACTGATCAAAATATTTTTTCATTAATTATATATTTAATTATTATTTTTTCATGGAAATTAAATATTTTTCTATTAAAAAATATACATCTAAAACAAATAGGCGTAGTACCGGAACCAATCACATTCAAGTTACCGTTTCTCTCGCACTTCATTCATACACTACTACTACTCCCGTCTAACGCTCTCACGTTCCAATCACATTCTTCACTCTCACGTCAAATGCTAACTCTCGTTTCAATCACGTTCTTCACGCTATAAACCCTAACCCTCTAGTTCCAGTCACATTCTTCACGCTTCACGTTACAAACCCTAACTACTCTCTCGTTCGTTACAAACCCCTCTCTCGAGTTTTCTCCGCCGTAATAGCCTCCATTCCGGTCCGGCGCAGCCACGCCCATTCCCATTTGCTCTCTTTACGGCTCCATGGAACCTGTTAGAGAAGAGATAAGCCTCGTATCCGAGTTCTTGAAGGTATGAAGTGTTCATAATACTTCAAACGTTGATCGTTAGTAATAATACTGATTTAGTAACAAGACTTGACCGTTCCTAATTCTTTTAGGATAGAGGAATCTCTAAACCGCATTTGGATTCGTTCAATCAATTTGTGAACGTGGATCTGAAGAAGATTGTGGAGGATAATGGATCTATCAGGTTATCTAAGGATAACCGTTTCTTTTTGAGGTGTATATTTTTGTTGCATTTCTGTAATTTGTTTTCCAGTTAAAGTTCACGAACCATAACGTTGCCTATTCTCTCCTGCAGGATTTTGAATGCCCGGGTTGGTGCACCTACCCGCACTCCACTAGAATGCAGAACATGTGACCTAACGTAGGAATTATTTCCATGATAGGCATGATCTATTGTTTTTAATTGGATATTGGATATTGAATATTTCTTAGTTATTGATACCATGTTGTATAATTTTTAGGTACACAGCTCCAATATTTGCTGATATTGAATACTCTCAAGGAATTAAAAATGAAATATTGACATTAAAACAGGTTATTGGCCACTGTTATTATTTGAATTTGACAAAGATCTACTTTATTAACTATCAGATCTTTTTGACAGAACCAAGTTGAAATTGGAAGGATGCCTATTATGGTGCGGAGTTGCTGTTGTGTCTTGTATGAGAAACAAGAAGCTGAGCTTGCGAAACTTGGTTAGTATGAAATAGATGCACATAGTTATTATATTTATTCAACGTTTAACAAATCTTTTGCATTTCTTATTTTTATCATAGAATCTTACATTTTGTAGCTTTCCTTTGATCAGAGGATATTTTATTGTTGAAGGGGAAGAAAAGGTGATCTTTTCCTTTCTGGTTTTCTCTATTCTGACATGAACCAAATAGAAATAGGAAAGATTATTATTAAAAGATTAAACTCCTTACAAACTTATCTCTGAATACCCTCCCCTATCTGATGCACTGTCTAATAACTTGCATGCACAAGAACTACTTGAGTCACCGTGCAATTCCCTTTCATCAGTTAAAAATGTTGGCAGCTGCTAATAATCAGTAGTAGTAAAAAATTATTCTTTTCACTTGTGATTCTTGTGGTGGGACTTGGGAGTTCAGATCTGTAAGTTTAGTTTAAAATATATAATCCGTGTAATATTTGTAACTATAATTTTGTTCTCTTGTCTGCTTGCATTGCTTGCATCATCCCTGTTTGCTGCAACGCCCCTTCATAAGTCTTCTTCGCTCCCATCTGACACGTGTTCACTCCTTGGGATACTGCGACATTCAACCCATTCCATATACTATTCAAGCTAGCCTATTTACATTTGGCCCAACCTTCCTCTTCAACCTATCTTCCCTCTTCCAGTATTCCATTCCTCAAATCTTCCTTGTTTGCCAACTTCATTATGGAACTTTGATCCTTGTGCCGTGTGTAGTACTTCTATCCTAACTTCTTCTTTCAAGCCACTCATGAAGTCTCCCTTGAGAGCCTCTTCTTTTTCATTTCTTAAGGGAGCTGAGATTAAATTAAACATATGCTTACACTCCTCCATTGAATGACTTTGTCTTAAACTCATCAAAACTTCATGTTGATTCTAGATTAATGGAACTATCAAAGTTTCATCTAAATATATTTTGCTTTTTTATTTTTCTACTTGATGGTTTTTATTTGTTCATTTAACATTATGATTCAACCATATTGTTTCAGGTTTTCTTAATACAAGAGGAGCATTTTGACAAAGGGATCACTGTATCCTCAAATGGAGAAGGAAAGTAAGTAATTATTTGGTATGATCGGTAATTATTTGCTTATTCTTCTCTTGTGATTTATGCATTTTATCCTACCTGATAAGCAAGTAAGACTGTAATAGTAGCTGTTGGATGATCTTTTTTATCTCATTTGGTAGTCTGATCAAAATAATCACTTTGGTCATTCTTCTAGCTTTCTCTTCCCATTAAACTAGGCTAGCTTTGTGCACAGGTTGTTTGTGATAACATTCAGCTGCCAGTGAGTGATGAAGTATACTTTCTAGTAAACTAATTGATTTTCTTTTTGTGTCATTTGGTCTCCACCAAATTGGTTCCTATTGTGTCATTTCTTCACGGGAATCTCTTTTGGGACGATGTTTTCTTCCTCTATTCTTTTTTTCTTGCTTTGGTTTTCTAGGGTGATTGATTATTATTCATGTTGAGAGTACTATCCAATATTTATTGGGTCACTCACCTGATAAGTGGGAGACATTTTGCCCCTTATTAGCCGATTTTTGAAAGTGTTGAGTTTGACGCAAGCCAAATTCTTAACAACCGGATAAGTCAAGCAGATTGATTTATAAAAGTGATAATATTTATGTATTTAGATTTTTTATTGAGGTTGAATCGGAGGAGCACTTTTCCCCGATTGGGCTAATTTAGGCTTATAAGGGGAGTATCTGGCTAAGAGGAGCACTTTTGGGTTAACTTTCCTGCTGTAATAGGCTTTACATGCAGTGGCTACTGGCAAGTTGTTCTCTGAGTGCATATATATGTCATGTTGTTTTACAGTTTATTTTGGTTCTGTTTTTGCTTTCGGTATTACTGCATCTGTTACAAGCTGCAAGGACATGGCAAAAACAAAAACTATTATCACAATGCATGATAAGAAGTTGTGGATACAGTTGGATCAATTTACTAAGGTTTTCCTTTAGCTATTTTCAAAGTGGCTGATTTACCTCTGTCCCTTCGATTCCGTTATATTTAATTTAATTGGGATTTGACAATATTTATTTCTTCTTTTTAAATCCATTACATAGATTCCTCTTATGGTTGTAATGAAAGTTATGGGCATGGATAAAGATGAAGTTATCCAAATGATTGGCCGAGATCCTTGTTATGCTTCACTACTTGAGCCATCCATTGAGGTAATTGACATGTCATACATTTGGATAAATAAAGAACTTGAGCTCTCATTCAATAAGCTATTTTGAGGTTAATTATTAAGGGCTTGTTTGAAAGGGTTTTAGTTTTTAGTTTTTAAAAACAATTTTGTAAATCAACTTTGAAAATGAACTTTGAAGAAAAAAAAAAAAAGAAAACATGTTTGATAATCTTACTTTTAAAAATTGTTTTAAAGTTGCACAATATTATGAATTTGCCGTTAATGAAAAGTATCTCACTTTTCCTTGTTTTTTTACTCTTCCTAATTTCCAAAACAAAAAACCAAAAACCAAAAACCAAAACTTCTAAAACCTATTTTAGTTTTTTAGTTTTTACAACTCTTAGCAAGTTTTATAATTTTCAAATTTTAAAAAACTAAATAGTTTTACAAAACCAATTCAAACAGGCTTTAAGTGCCTATTCATCATAAGCTTTATGGGGATCTTATTGGAGTAATATGAAACACAACATATGGGCATGTATTTTATAATTATATCCAAACACCTATGTAAGCACTTATGTTATGAGATACATCAAAGTAAGTTCTAGATAAGCTCTTCTAAATGCCTTCAATCTCAAATATAAAAATGCTTTTGCACACATTAAATTTCAAGAGATGGGGAGGCTAGAGACAAGTAATACATTACAGACTTTTCTGCTCATTCTTAACTTACACAGCATATTATGTTAAAATTTTTGATATTGCTAAACTAAGGAACATGTTTTGCCCTGTAATCAGGAATGTAAGAAAGAGGATGTATTAACAAAAAGTAAAGCATTGGCGTACCTTATATCAAAGGTGTGTTGCTCTTTCTTATTCCCATTCACAAAGGATTTATCCCTTATTTCTCATTTCACATAAAAGTTATCCAATTACAAAATGAATCTCAGTTCTGACTTTCCCTTTCTCTCACCATTTTGTTGTGGAGTGGCAATACATTGAATTCATGGACGGTGCTGTGCTTTGTTTACTAGTGAAGTTGCAAATGTTACTATTGTTATATTCTTTATAATTGTTGAAACATATGAAGTTGCAAATGTTATGATTGTTATATTCTTTATAATTGTTGAAACATATTCTTTTCATGCCTTTCTCAATTTGTGTTTGTACCATATTGTAAAATAAAAAAGAAAAAAAGTTAAGGTATTTCTGATTTATCCTTCATTAAAAGAATCCAAATGACTCGAGAACAATTATCAATAAAGAGAATAGAACATCTTGCACTACAAATATTAGAAATATGGGCAGGTCTCCGAATGAATAAAGATCAATGATTTAACATTTTTAGTAAGACTCAAAGGAAAAGTAGATTTATGGTGCTTAAAATCTGACAAATGTCACATAAAAGATTCGAAAGATTGTTTTAATAACTCGAATAGAAACTTACACTTCATTAATGAAAAAGGAGAATTACCAAGACATTTGTGTTGAATTCATATTTGCGAGGCAAAATAATGAACACTCTGACGGAGATATTTTGAACACTCTGACGGAGATTGAAGTGAAAATGACAACACTTTTTGATCAGTTCGTGCATCAGACAAATAGTATAGCCGTCTCTGTTTCTTTTCAATTCCAATCGTCTTTCCCATGCAAGAGCAACCCTAGGATGAACGACTTGATAGAAAACGAGAAAGGTAGTAGAGAAGAGAGATAAAGAGTGTTCATTGATCTCAAACTAGTTTTGTTATTATGCCAAAGTTAGTTACAGAAGAGAGAGAACTGATCTTTATATAGTTCAGTTAGAATGTGCTGACTCAACACATTCTGTTACAGAGTTTGTTAGATGCTGACTCAACACATTCCTAGGCTATTATTCTGTAAATTATGCGTGTATATTTTTAGATCAAACTATCTATTTATAATAGTGTTACAGAGTTTACTCTATCTAATACCACTATTGATATCATATAGAAAATTCTGTAAGTTATGCGTGTATATTTTTAGATCAAACTATCTATATTTATAATAGTATTACAATAAATATATTGAAAGTTAACGAAGAAAGTTGTAAAAGAAGCACTAACTTAGAAAGTTGTATATTTTAAGAATACTAAGAATCTAAAATATCTGCAAGTTTAATTAATTCTGTTGAGAGTCCCTCATTTTCACAGCTCACACCATTTCTTCTCTTCCCTTGTTTCTCTTTCAACACCTCACATTACCTTCTCTTTCTCTAAGCGCCTGTTTGGTTGCTAATTATTTCATTCCCAAAACGCATTTTACCCTTCTGTCTTTTCCTGGGCTTTCTTTTTTTTGGCTTCTTAACTAAAATAAATTGCATTTTTTCACGAGCCTTTAATTGGATTTATCTTAGGGGTTTAAAGATTAATCAAACTTGAAATTGTATTGTGAAGATTGGTTGATGTCCAATCTCGTTTCTTTCTTCCGGTGTTTGATTGCTACTCCAAGAGTAGTGACAAGAAGACATTGATAAGGTGGTTTTTTATCGACAGAAGAGTTGGCTGAAGTGGAAGTCATACAAAATATTTGTTTCTTACATTATTCCTTCTACGTGTGAGTTGGCTTGTGAAACCTGAATCTTATGGACGGGAATTCGAATCATACATCTGTTCTCACCGATACCGCCCCGATAGCAAATCCTAGGCTACACATACATTCCAAAATTTCAATTTGATGTCTTATTTCCATACTGGTGCAACCTTTTTACATGGTATCAAGAGTCTCATTTAAGATCTGGTGGGCCACTTGGTATCAGGTTTCCGTTATCTGGCCACCCACCAGTGGCTAGGTATTTCTGTTGGTGCACAAAGAAGAGATGAAAAGCAAGAGGAATATATTTAATGACGGCTAAAAATAAGGAATAATGATTTACAATGAATTACACTGACCTCTGTTGCACCCCAAAATTTACCCTCTTGATTTAGGCTTATGTTTCATCATGAATATCATATTGCATTGCACATACATTGTGATGGGATCAAAGTACTTTGGTTATCAAGTCTTCCTCAAGCCTTGAAGGTTGTTTGCATTGACAAGTTGCTCAAGTAGAATCTTATCATCTAAACCTCTGGATCTTTCAAGCTCAAAAGTTATTGCATATCTCAAGATATTTCATCCATCTCTTTGGATCATCAGAGGATTGAAGTTTGTGTTTGATTATAAGAAGAATCACTCTTTTGATTCACCAGTCAAATTAGGGTTTTGTTTGATCAAAGCTATTGATCAATGTACAAGTCTTGGTTTGGAAGCTACAACATCTCATTGGTATTTGAAAAGTCTTTGTACAAGGAATTGGTCAAGATGCCTAGAGGGTTTGAAGTTTTGAAGATGATTCATCAATCCCCTAAGGTGTTGACCAAAACTAGGGTTTGAGATTTCATCAAGTTTTCTTGAGAATTTTGAAGTGAAACTTTGTACATGGCCTCTATATATTTGGAAGATCATATGTTTGAAGTCTTGATCATCAATTTTGAAGGGAAGTGGATCAATTGATTCAAAGGGGCAAAATGGTCATTTTGGTCAAAACCAGTCAAAATCAAGAGTTGACCAAGTTGGACTTTTGGTCAACCATCGATTTAAGCATCCTCTTTTCATATTCCATACCCAAATTCATCTTTGAATCATGAGAAATGGTGAATTTGAGTGTAACTTGTTCAAGAAGTAACTTAAAAATTAAAAATATTCTAAGTGTCAAGATGACTTCTCTTGGGCAAGTCACGCGCGTAATTTCATCAAACACTTGGCATGCCATTTTGTGGAATCAATTTCTTGTGACTTAAGCCTCAACTTGAAAAATTAAAAAGAGCATTTTGTTGTTTTCCATAAGAGCTTCTCTTTGAGCTTTGAATCTTTCAATTTG